AATCATAGAATGCAGTTTGTTGATATACCAATTTCTAACATATATCAAAAACTGCAGATCCTCCTTCATTCTTTTCAGCAAGAAAAGTCATGCCTGCTTTCTGACGTAAAGATTTCAGCCTGACAACAAATACAATAAGAAACATGTCAGAAGTTGTTTATATTGGCTGTGTTCAGATGTAACACTAAAACATGATTACTTACCATTAGAAATACTAATAGAACAATCACAAGGAGAGGGTTACTCTGATTTCAGCTTAATTTAACTAAATTACAGTTAACTACGGTGAACAGAAACCAGAACTTGGAAATGTTAGTTTTCTGGTGTACTGAATCACTGGTTCTTAACCTTGGGTACTCAGGAGTTTTGGACTGCAACTCCCAGAAACCTCCCTCTGATTTCAGCTTAATTTAACTAAATTACAGTTAACTACGGTGAGCAGAAACCAGAACTTGGAAATGTTAGTTTTCTGGTGTACTAAAAAATGGCAAGAGTTCTGGAGTTGCAGTCCAAAAGGTAACTTTTCCACGTTTTGTCATAAACTATGATTTGAGACTGGTTAGTTTCCATAAGCCATAAATGAGACTGACTTCAGTTCATCAAGATTGAAACCAAATGGCAACCTGCAGTTGGTCCACATCAAAAGCATAAACCTGAATTTCTCTTCACAATTGTGGCAGAGCGGAGGAAGTATGCAAACTTGGTGGAAGGCCAAGCTCCTCCTAGTAACATTTTAGTATGGCTGAGCCTTTCATCCAAAGCAGCTGTGAGGAGGTTGGCTCCAGTGCTCCTGGAAGGCCTTTTGTTCTCCCTCCATAATCCCTGGGAGAGCCCATCAGAAGTTCTCTTCTGCCAGGCCTCAGGTGGGCACCCAGGGCCAAGAGAAGAAGCTGGCTGATAGAAGCCACCTGGGTGGGGAAGTGGGGCAGAGCACCAGACCCAGCTGCTGGTGATAAAAGTGGAAAGTGAGGAACAGGAGGAAACCAGTGCCGTGGAGGAAGCAGAGACACCTGAAGCTGTGGGGTCAGGATCAGGCCCAGGGAACTCCAAGGAGGAAGGCATCTGGGAGGACGCCATGGGGGAGCAGGAAGAAGCTTTGCTGGGGAAAGGGGTCTATGATTATGCCCTTGTGAAAGACCCCTGGACTGGGAGCTTGTGAAACTGCATCTCTACCATATGGGAGCAGCCGTTGCAGAGGTTCTGATTTGGGTTTTGTCAGCCTATGGCCCCTTTGGCAGTGGAAACCATGCCCCACATCTACCAGTCCAACTCCTACACCCACACAGAGGAGGTGCCAGTGCCAGAAAGAATGGCAATGATGTCACCAGAAGAATCTCCAGGAGAGTAACACTGCTGCCCTTACAGGGCATAACTTGGACCTCAAGACTATGGACAGTGCCAAGCTTCCTGATGTTAACCAGAGACGGACAGGGTGACTGGAGAGGCTCTAGGCTAGTGACTGGAACTGAGCCAAGGGATGGACAAGGGGATGGTTGAGTAAACCCTGTGCTGGAACTGTTAAGCTTTGCAATAAAATCTTTGTTGCACTCAGTGCCCCAGGCCTATGGATACCACATTGATTATAACTTCCCTCACCACCCTAGCCCTGGATAGAAGCAGTGGGGTGTACATCAGCATACAGATTTCTTTCTGTATTTTATCACATCCATTCCTAAAGCAGATGCTGAATCACACACATTCACGATAAACCCACACATGGCAGTTTAGTCAGGGGAACAGATTCTGTTGAGGACCTTTAACGGCTGCATAAAACAAAGGCCTCCATTTCAGTGTTTACTCAACTATGAGAAGTACAGAAACACTGTCTTTCATAACAGCCAAAGTTAGGATCCTTGCTTTTTTCTTACCTCAGTGGACCTGTCACCAAAAAGTGGCAACTTGCAAAGCTGTGAAAGAATGATCACACATCCCTTGCTGCTTAAATCAACTCTAATCACAACCCCTTATCTTGTTTGTTTGAGCTCTGAGATATCAGGCTTCACAGTATCTTCACCTGATTCTCTATGTTGCACAGCCATGATTACACTAAGCAGACAAATCAACTGTGTTCTGTTCAATGAAGTTTTCAGTCCATGCCCTATGCAGACATTTTACATGTTGCACATTGTTCTAAGCACATGTGTGCTGGGTAGCCATTCCTCCATGGTCACATGAACTGAGCAGACCTAACCCCCATACCACATGAATCTGTCCATAAGGACAGATCTAAACATTTCCAGAGGACAGGGCTGTTGCGAGGCTACTTAGCTGCCTTCTATCATGTGAATAGAGTACAGTGGTGCCCCGCTATATGCTTACCCCGCATGACGTCGAAATTGCTTAACGCTGAGATTTTTGCGATCGCAAAACAATGGTTCCTATGGGGGAAATCCGCATTATGTTGATTAGGAGCCTGCTTCGCGAACTTTTTGTTCACTATACAATGATTTTTCCAGTTCTGCAAAATGGCTTCCCTCTGCAAAATGGCTTCCCTCCCTTCTCAAAATGGCTGCTTTCTGGAGGGAAGCTTCACATTACAGCGATTTTGAACAGCTGATCGTCAGTTCTCTGTCGCCAGTCTTCGCTGGACGATGAGGTATTTCCCCCATTGGAACGCATTGACCCGTTTTCAATGCATTCCAATGTGTGTGTGGTTTTTCTTCCGCTTGATGACGATATCGCTTAACAGTGATTTTCCTGGAATGGATTATCGTCATCAAGTGGGGCACCACTGTATAGTGTTAAGAAAGCCATAGTATTGCTTAGAAAAAATGAGGGTAAAGATCCTATATGTTCTCTGCTCCTATGATGGAAATGGATCCCCAAAGAACATTGGCAAAGATCAAGGAAGGGCAAAGTTTGGCTCTCCACAGGGTGTTGGACTGCAGTTCCCATCATCTCTAATCCGTATAGCCAATAGTGAGAAATGGTGGGAATGGCAGTCCAATCACCTGTAGAGGTTTACACTTTGTCAGGGCCAAAATAGATCAATAAGAACAAGGAGCCATATTTAACACTATATGAACATATCACTTTCTACATGCTTGTATCTTCCCGAGCAAAGTAACTTGAATTTATTAAAGACACTCAAACCCTACCCTGTCCAGTGAATGCCTTAGATTTCATCTCTGGACCTATTAAAAAACCCACAAGGTTCAAGTTTAATCCTTTTGTGTCTCCTACTCTGTGTGCATTTTCCATATGCAATGTGGGAAAGAAAACCGCTTTGTCTCACAGGTAGCTGAAAAATTCACCTGGGTAATAAGAAAAAGATAAAAACACATGGAACAGACATGGTGAAATGAAGAGCTATGCTTGTAGCCAGAAATGTGGTGGTGATGGTGGTAGTGAAAGTGGTATGAGTCTAACAGAAGGAGGGGGTCATGCTTCTTATTAGACCATCTGCATTTAAATGCAGATGGTCTAATAAGCATTTAAAATTATTTGATGATTTAAATCATTTCATTAAAATGCTATTTCATGTTTATTTAATCAACACTTAGAATTGCTCTCTGGAAAGCTCCCATGCCTTTACAAAAGCAATGCTATGGGCATTTCTGTTGTGCACAACGGGAACTCGGATGGGCTATCAACAAGCTGTCAGGCATGAAAGATTAGGAGCCCCTTTGGTGTATGTAATAAAAGTGATAATGGATTTCCTATGGTCCGGATCTATGCAATAAATTCAATGTATGGAGCATTGTTGACATGGAAAACATGAGAAAGAAGGCTAAGGAATGTATCTACATTGCAATTCTCTATCTACTCCTCACACTTTTTGATGAGGGAACAAAGGAGGATAAGCAAAGCCTTTGTCCTCAATTGGTTATTCATACAAAAAGAGAGAATCTACCGTATATACTCGAGTATAAGCCAACCCGAATATAAGCCAAGGCATCCAATTTTACCACAAAAAACTGGGTAAACTTATTGACTCGAGTATAAGCCGAGGGTGGAAAATGCAGCAGCTACTGGTAAATTTCAAAAAATAAAAATATATACCAATAAAATTACATTAATTGAGGCATCAGTACATTAAATGTTTTTGAAGATACTGCCCTTCTGAGCCGCGAGACACACTTCACTGCCTGTGGAGGGAGGACTCATACTGGATGCTGCTCTACTGTTGCGTAATAAGATGGAGGTAGACAAAGGATGGAGCAGGAAGGTGGGTACATAGAATATGCAGAAGGAGGAAGATGGGAGTGTCCTGGAAGCGGAAATGCAGTGTACTTAACCTGGGTCCTTGGACCACCCACAGAGGCTGCAGGCGCCCATAGATGAGTGGGGGAGTCTGGAGAACACCCGCACTGCAGGGGAGAACATGTAATTTTGACACTGACTCGAGTATAAGCCGAGGATATGCTTTTTCAGCAAAAAAAGTGCTGAAAAACTAGGCTTATAAGTGAGTATATACAGTATTTCAAATTTTGTAATATGACTTGGATAGTATTGGTTTGAAGGGCTTATGGGATAAATATTGTACAAAATAACAAGCACAAAACTGTATGTTAGCTTTCTGATGAAGATGGGCATCTCCACAGAAAAGTTCACTATCCTTGGCTAATCATGGCCAAACTAATGAGTTGGAATCATCATAGAGAAACTGTGACTGCTGCCTCAAGTGGCAGAATTTGGATGTCATAAAATGGCAACGGACTGTTAATAATTTAATTTATTATTACAGCGTCAGTTGATTGCTAGGGGACTGGGAGAAGTGCTGGAGGGATTTTTGGTCTCAGGTATCAAAACAATAGTAGTATGCAACTATATTTGAGAAAAAAGAAAGGCAAGAAATTTTTTTTGTTCTATTTCAAGAACCAAAATCTAATGGGTTGGCCCCGGCAGGGACTATGATAACCCCACTCCCAAACCATGCTAATGGCAGTGGTCAGCAAAGGCAGTGATGCAAATGGAAACTAAGCTACAGATTTGATTGAGAAATGGCCCCCAACCCACCCCGGCCCCCTCTCCCATGGCATGAGGAGAAGCTGGTATACCTGTTTATTCTTTAAGTCAAGGGAGAGCTCATAATCAGAGGCAGCGGCATGGGAACAAGTGGCTGCCCCTTTGCCACGCTGCCCTCGCACGGGGGAACCCGTGTGGTGGAGACTGGCCTTCTGCACCAAAAGGGAGCAACCCGCTGCCTGCTCTTCCTGCTGCTCCGCATGCCGGGCTTTTAACTTCAAGGTGTCGGACCTGCCTTCCTGGCCACTGTGTCTGCCGGCCTCCTTCGGATCCTCCGCATCACACCCGGGTTTCTTGCTGGCTGATCCGCAGGGATCGTCACTGTGAACAAAACGCAACGTTTCTCTTTTTTATTTGTTTTTTTTTTAATTCTCTAAGCCTCAGCAGCTAATTGGTTTCACAAACATCCAGAGATGGGGGGAAAAAACATCCTTTTTTGGACTGAAACTCCCTCGTCTGGGGAATGCTCAGAGTTGTAATCCGAAAAAGAAACCTTTTCCATCTGGGCAAACATCCACAGAGCACATGATATGGCACAGCAGAAGCAAGAAGGCTCTTCGGACTGGATTAAAGTTGTCAATGGGAAAGCCTATCACCACTAGGGAGTTTGGCAGGACAAAATCACGGCTTTTTCCCAATGATCACTACAGTCCATTGTGTACGCCAAGGGAATTTAACACATTTTTAAAAATAGATAAATATATAATTTCTGGTTCAGCAAGCCAACCATATTAGGCAAATAATAAGTTAAGAAAACTCACCTACCAGGACATTGTGATACAATTCTCATTTTTGCAACTTCCCTAGCAGTGCAAAAATTGAGAGACTGTCAAGTCCTTTATAGCAGTGGTCCCCAACCTTGGGCCTCCAGATGTTCTTGGACTACAACTCCCAGAAACCTCCACCACCACCTCTGCTGGCCAGGATTTCTGGGAGTTGAAGTCCGAGAACATCTGGAGGCCCAAGGTTGGTGACCACTGCTTTATAGGCTGTAATACATAACTGGTGATAGGGATGTAGTGGCATAAGCCATAGCCATCAGGTATTGGGACCTTTACTACGGTGTTCTCAATAAGACACTAGGCAGACATAGCCCTGTCTTTCAAATGGAGGACAAGTTTGCTTTCCATTTTATTGTTACAAGATACGTAGACCTCAGGTATGTGTTGTACACCAACCAGATTATATGCCCTGACAAAATCAGAGCCATGCATCTCTTAGAGGCTGCAAGTCTGACTCTTTTTGTGATACTCTAAACCAGAAGTTTTCAGCCCTGGGTCCCCACATCATCTCAGACTACAACTCCCATAAATCCTGGCGAGCACAGCTAGTGGTGAAGACTTCTGGGAATTTTAGTCCAAAAACATCTGGGGACCCAAGGTTGGGAACCAGTGCTGTAAAAGTACTTCAGGGAAAAGGACCTAATCAGCATGTAAGAGCAACAGCAATTTTCAACAGTTTTCTGATTTCCATATTATTTGCATAATTGTATTTAATTAAGAGAACATGGAATGTTGCATTTGTTCATTTGATGCCCGACATTGGGGGGGGGTTGTTCCTGTTATTTTAATGGAAGACCACTGTGACAAGTGTTTTCTTCCACAAGGATGTCAACCATTCTCAATCAATTCGACAGGAAAGAAACTCCCTTTGGGAAGAATTTCTAAACAGGATAATTTTCAGAGAAATGTTCATGGCTGAAGTTCAGGACTCTTATGTTTAATTAAAAGGTAGTTGACACATGTGTATGCATATCTGGCATATAGTTGTACTGTATAGCTCTTTCTGTGGCAGCTGGGAACCTATCTACAGTCAGGTTCCCAGCTTCCCACACTTTAGTTAAAGCCTGGAGTTTGAAATCATCATCATACAAGTCCCTTCCACAGGGCTTTTTCAGTCAGAGAGTGTGGGGAGCCAGGGAGACTGCAGGCTGATGGAGAGATGTGTAATAGAGGAGAAATACAAATCCTGTGTTACCTTTGAATGCTACCGTAATTACATAAATGTAATCCCAAAAATAGAAGCCCCTTTCAGTGGGGAAATAAAATATTTAGGAAATTGGAAACTAGCTCCACCTTCTTCCTACAACTGAATGCAACCGCCTTCCTTCATACTTTCTGCAGGATAAAACAGAAGTGGAATTGTATTCTGACCATGTGCACTAGAGACAAAATATATCTACAGTGACTCTTCCAATATTTAACACTTGTAAGCCCTGGGAAAGTTGCTGAATCCTGAGGATTCCTGAGCCAAAATTTTTCATGACATTTTCCCCCTAAGAAAGATTTTGAATTTTGTTTCTTTGTTTTCTTGCTCCTCTAGAAAGAGAAGGACACTTGGCATAATTGTTTCCAAACCTTCTCCATCCTTTTTTGGTGGGTTCCCTTCTCATCAACATCATAGTGCCCGAGAAGGACATTAGGCAGAAGGAGGTTGCAGAAGAAACAAAATGGCTGCCTGGCAACACAACCATTTGCTACTTTTCGCTATTGAAATGCCAATGCAAAAACCAGAAATCAGGGGGCAATCACTGAAATCTCTCCTTCCTTTGGAGAAATGTGGCGAACTCATCTCCATTCCCTCACACACACCCCTGGAATATGGTAAAGAATTTGGAAAGGTCACTTGGGAACACAGCTATAGCTGTTGTGCTGCATGTTTGGCAGATCTAAAGGAGTAAAAAGATAGCACTGCTTTTAAAAGTAGCTGTGAGCCCAGCCGCCCATTGTGAAAAAAAGATGTCACAATATTCCAGTTAGCCTTTTTTTATTGCTCAATGCCCTAGCTCTGCAGATATTGACTCAGATGTAAGTCCCTTAGCATTCAGTGAGATTTCTTCCAAGATAAATATGAATAGTGATAGCTTTAATGCAATGCATTTTCCTTCCCTACAGACTAATCATACTGCTAGATCAGAGTTTGGCATCTAGACTGCCCTCTCCCCCTACTAAATATGAAACAGAAATCATACTCCTATGACTAACTACAAAGGCTATGGTCCAATGGAAACATTCGTGCATGTAGAAAAAATTAAGAGTGCACAGATCTGAGAGGCTTCGCCTTTAATTTTCACCAACATGCTCTCTTCTACAACTTATCAAACTGTAGATGCTCTTTTAATCTTGCTGTTTAAAAAGGGGTTTTCAGAGTGGAAGGAGAGGGAATGATCACTCTTATGAAAATGTATGTGGAAAATCCCTAGATGTAAACATATATTTTGATGTGCAATCTTCAAGACAGCAAACGAGTGAACAAAATATTCTCCATTCATCATGTTCTTTTTAATCCTAACAGCTTCCTACTGGCTCACTGCTGATTTGCAGAGCAATTCCAATCCAAAATCATGGTTCAGATTTCACCCTCATCATTTCAGTAAACCTGTAATACCGATTTTTGTGACACTGCAATGATTTCCATGGCAACGGACTGTGATGTCATGAAGGAAAGGACTTTAATGTGCCAGAGCACTAAGCAAAGGATTGTTCTCTCAATGGGATGGGACACGAGCATGAGGGCCCCTGCTATGATTGCCGTAATAGAGAAGGGGGGGGAATCAGAAGAGTCTTATTACTGGGCAAAAATATATGTAACAAACCATGTTAAGTTGACCTTAAAGGAGCAATGTTCTCTGAGAGTCACAGTGTCGTGCTAAACCTTATTTTGGTGGGACAAGGATCAGCTGCAACAAGTTTCAGACTTGTGCACTTCCTCTCTCTTTTCTCTGCCGTGGTCAGACTCTCGCAGTGTCTATGGGATCTGTAAAGTTCTCTGCAACTGTTAGAACAGAAAGCTGTTAGAGTAGAAGTAGAAGAACTGCAGTCCTCTCTAGATGCTGGAGGGAAACTCCCCTTACCCTTCACCAAGGGTTATGCTGGCTGGCACTGGAAAGAGTTGTAGCTGGACAAAATCCGGAGGGACATTTATTCTCCACTCCTTTGTGTGGAAAGAACAGATCAGTCATCAGCCAGGTGGACAGTGGGGTTGGCAAAGTGCAGCCTTTAGGCTACATCAATCCCCAAGGCCATTTTTATGCCCCCCCAATCCCCATGAAGCCCCAGCATGTGAATTCATGCAAAAAATGTGTATTGTGTTTACTTTTTTTTTCTTTAAATATGTAAGGGAATCACAGGTCCTCCTAAGCTTCCAAAATCCTCCGAATCAAAACTGGAAATAAATATCTGGCCACCATTTTTCCCCTTAAATGTTGTTTAGCATTTCTGATCTTGGTGCAGTTCATAAAGAGTTGTGTGTGTGTATGGAAATGTAGCCTCCAGGCCCTCCACAACTGTTGCCCACCAAATGGTCAGTAATGATTGGTGGTGGCAATCTAGGGTTTTAGACAAGGGCCTTTCCGCTGTCCTATTTAGAGCTCTTGACTGAATGGGAGACATCCTGAATGCAAAGCATGTATTCAGCTTCTGAGCTATGGTCCCTTAACAATTCAGGCACCAGTGAAGCCCTTAATGCACAGCTTAACATTTAGCCTCAGAAAATAGCAGCACGGTTAAAATGGTACAAGGCAAGATTTTAGAGCCTTTCAAGATCTGTGTCTGAGTTAAAATCCATGCACACATGAATGTAGGCGGTCTCCCACTGCACTATCCTGACATCTTTTTAAGTATGATTAATGATGTCTGTTTCCAATCTGTTACTAAAGATATATCAACCTATCAAACATAAAGACACCACACCAGGAATTACACTTCCTAACATGTAGACATCCGAGTGGGGGCAGCCACAATAAAGGCATTCCCTCAAAGAAATCTTAACCTATTGAATTTTGGTCTATCAGGTAACAGTTAAAAATGGATTTGCTTCTGTCACACATAGAGGTTTCCTTAATGGGATAAACTGTATCTATAGAAAGTATTTGTTCATCTCTTAAAGATGTCATTCTCCTCAAACAAAATAGCTATGGTGAGCGGGGGGGATGATCAGGCAAAGCAAATGCACTGACAGACACACGGGTTCAATTCTTAGGCAACCCTAGAGCTTCTTCGGGGTTAACGTACTGTGGGCTCCTGGGGAGAAGATCCTGCCACTGCTGGTTTTTAGAAATAGGGTCTTTGTGTTATAGTTCAAAACCTCCTGTCTACAGAGATTCAAAAGCCATATGTCTGCCGGGATTTGGTAGTTTGCAAATCTGTTCTTTTAAAAATAAGCTTCAATGTGATTTAAGATTCTCTCGGTAGTTTTCTATATTACGGTGCAATTTCTATTTATATTGTTCTATTTAATATCATTTAGGATTTTATGATTATTAGTTTGCTGTTCCGAGTCTGACTAAAATTAATGCATTATTCAGGAGTTTCTATACCTGA